GCTCTTGTCAGGCTCTCACCTTCTGTGCTTCCCGGGAGACTACATCTAGGATATCCCTTGGGAGGAAAATCCTGAGTCCTACTCGATGAACCGGGTGGTGAAGGAGGTGGCTGGCAAAAAACTGCAGGAAAAATGTTACGCAGTGATGAGCAGAGAGTGGCAGGGATTGCCTGTCAAAAAATGGAGGGGGCTCACGGAGCTACTCACCAGGCAGAACTCGTGGACACAGAACCCATTTATCTGGAGTTTTTCCCCGCAGATGTCCGGGTCAGCCTCTGATTGTTGACACAGCAGGCATGCTGGAGGGGAGAGAGACAATGGCCCCGGGCATGGCACCTGTACTGCCCGCCCCGACAGCCCCTCTGCCAGGCTGAGGGAGGGGCACTTTGCTCTCACCTGGCTCCCTCACTTCGGGGGGCTCCTCCTCCCTGTCTGACATGGGACGTGTCAGTGGTGGGTCCCTGTCCCACTGTCCCACCGGTGAGTGGAGCTCCCAGCACTGGGTGCTCTATCACGGCTCCTCTCACGGTGACTTCAGGATCTGCGGGATGAATTTGGGGTCTGACACTGCTGGTGGGAGTGCTGTTGCTCTGCTGGAGCAGCTGCTGTCCTCAGTTGCTGGGAAGGTGCTCTGGGATGACCCCAATGTTACCTGACTGTCAGGGCTGGAGCTGCTCATCTCCTGTGAGGGACATTCCAGAGACTGTTCTCAGTTGCCTGCTGGTTGGTATGGTGGTTGCTGGTGCTGCGGGTGATGGTCTCGCCATCTGTGGAGTTGTCAGAAGACTCCTTTTGAGAGTAACAAGGTCTGGATCTTCACTGGAGGCTGTAAGGGGAAGCAGGAAGTTCAAGGCCACCCCAGCCCCGGGGCAGGATAGGCCAGAGCAGTACCGCCAGCCCTCCTGGAGCAGACAGGCTCTGCCAAGCCCACTCTTGACACCCGTTGCCAGGCCCAGGGTCACCAGGGTACTTAGCCTTTTACCTGTGCCCAGACCAGCACAGCCATCACATTCCCAGCTGGTTGTGCTGTCCCTCAGGCCAGAGCAGTGCTCCAGCAAACCTCGCCTGGCACAAATCTCCCTGCTCTTGTCAGGCTCTCACCTTCTGTGCTTCCCGGGAGACTACATCTTGGATATCCCTTGGGAGAAAGCCAAAGAGTCCTACTGGATCATCATTGTGCTGAGGAAGGTGGCTGGTAAAAAACTGTAGAAAAAATGACACACACTGATGAGGAGAGAGTGGCAGGGACTG